CAGAGCTGGTGCCATGCTGTCTAGTACCCTGATGACCCCAACCCTCCTTGGAGGACACAGCCAGTTCTGGCTGGATGACAGACAATAGGCTGCAGAGAGGGACCCCGGCAACCAACCCAGCTGACTCCAGTGAGAGGAGAACATTGGACAGAGGAGGAGAGGTGGAGAAGAGGGGCCTGGGCAACCCTCTTACCCGAGGAGAAGACAATGGACTGGGGAGGGGCTGTTGCTGGGGGTATTGGAGGCTCTGCTCAGAGACTGGTGTTGTAGTTTTCTTGGGGACTGAGAGCAGGGCAGGCAGGGCTCAACTGGCTGCAGGGGGAGGCTGACGTATGGGCTGAGGGCCCAGGCCTACTGGCCTGAGGGATCCTTTGCTGTGTTCAAAGCTCAATAATCCCTCCTGTTTTGTGCTGGCCGATAGTTGCTCTGGTCTAGAGAACAGGGTGGCACCATTCCTTCTGGGAGTGGAGGCCCCGGGCATCCAGAGAGAGTGGACCCCCCGAAGGGGCTCACAGAGGAGGCAGGCATGCTGAAGGCCCTGAGAGGCACCGTCCTGGAGGCAGAGGGGTGGACCCCTCAGGTGAGAGTGGGCACCCCGAGAGACGGTTCCTCCTCTGGAGTGAACTCCCTGAGAAGGGGCTGCTGGCCTGGAGGGGGGGGGCCCCCCCAGGAGCCGCTGTCTCACTGCCGCTGGAGTGGAGTGAGCTCCCCGAGAAGGGGCTGCTGCACTGGAGGGTGGGGGTCCGCCCAGGAGCCGAGGGGCCAAGTGTGAGCACCAGTGCTGGCCTGATCCATTTTGGTGCCCTGGGCCCGGCGCCGCCCCAGGTGCACAGCACATACATGGGCCTGCCCCCAGGGCGCACAGCGCATGCGCGGCCTGGCCACGGCCACTGTGCAGTGTAGACATACCCTATAAAGAGGCCTATCCAAGTCCCTTGGGGTATGTCTACACATCAAAGTTATTTCAGGACACCAGAGGTATCCCAAAACAGCTATCCCGCATCTTCACAAGCCACCTGTTATTTTGTAATATTTTTTGAAATAATGGGTGCACTATTTCGGCATCCCAGTAAACCTCGTTCCATGAGGGTTAAGGGACGTCTCAAAATAGAACTTTATTTCAAAATGTGGTGCTGTGTAGACTGCACCAAATTTCAAAATAGCTTATTTCGAAATAAGAGCAACAAGAATGATTAAAGGTCTAGAGAACATGACCTATGAAGGAAGGCTGTTAAGTTTAGAAAAGAGAAATTTAAGGGGGGGGACACAATAGCAGCTTTCAGGTATCTAAAAGGATGAGGTATACCTGGGTGGTCGACAAATACCTTTGATGTCGACACCCGCGCGTCCAGACTATCGCGCTGAGCCGACAAACAGCTGATCAGCTCAGCACGGCAGCCATGTAAATTTAAATGAAGCGGCGATTATTTAAATCGCCGCTTCATTTTCCTATGTCTGGTAGCCTAATCTACATGCCTCTGTCGCTTTGAAATTTGGTGCAGTCTACACAGCACCACATTTTGAAATAAATAAATAGGGTCTAGACGTACCCTAAGGCGACCAGAATTTGAAAATGTGCGAGGAGGACACTGAGTTGACAAAAAAAACCCATACTTGTATATGTATATAAATAATCGTATAAATAAATGATCATGATATTAGTCGTCTTATAAGACAAATAGACTTAACGAAAACAATCATATAATGTTAAAAACATCAATATTTGTCGCTCTTATGAATTAAAAATATCAATTCATTTTTATCAATTTCATGTTCAGTCCATTCATTGTCTTTTATTATATTGTTAATTCTTCGTACTTCGAACAATAAATTGTCATTTATTGTGATGCTAAATTTTTCTTTAACGAATAAAACTGTTTCAAGGATTTTATTCCATTGAATTTCTTCAATCAGCAGAGTCCAATCATACATGTACACTGGTTTGTCATGCTTAGTCCTCATGCTTAGTCCAATTTTCTAGATATTCAAGATCATTTTTATAAAAGCTCATTGCCTCCCTCGTAAATTCTTTCTTCATTCCCAGATTGTTCTCTTGTAATTTGTTTAAATTAGTAATTACAACCAATGAAAGGAAGTTGGACTCAAGACGTGATTGAAGTTGCTCCTTTAATTGTTTAATATGCAATCCTACTTCTGTAGAAGTTATATGCTCTTTTTCAATACTTTTTATAACTGACTGGAACAAAATTGCTTGATTGTGAACACAATATAGAGTTACTTCAGCAGATTCATTCTTAAACAAGTTTTTCAAGATCAGTGGACATTTTTCCAAACTTAGAAAATATTATTTTAAAGGCTTGAACAATTGCAGCAGTCATTCAATGGCTGGCATTAAAGCTAACTTTAATTAAATTAAAGCATCTTGTTTTCGAATATCCCAATAGTTTTTTATATTCAACTGAGGCTTCTTCGCAAACGGTTTTTAATGATATAACTCTTACAGTGAATTGTTCAAAATGTAAATAAATTTGAGGTATCACAACTTCAACATTGATGGACATTAAGCTTGATGCTGTATTGATGGCATTAGAAATTGTATCTAATTTAGATACAATATGGGCATTGCAACCGATTCCAATAATCGTTTTCCCAACTAAATGCTTTATTTTCTTATGAACAATTTTATCACCTTTTTAGGGTTAATCATGTCAACTAAAAAATCACATTGACATTACATGAAAATGGCTCAAAATAAATAATAACATTACATAAACCCTCTAAGGCTGTGTCTACATTGGCACCCTTTTCCGGAAAAGGGATGCTAATGAGACACTTCGGAATTGCAAATGTCCCAGGGATTTAAATTTCCCCCGTGGCATTTGCATGAACATGGCTGCCGCTTTTTTCCGGCTCGGGGTTTTGCCGGAGAAAAGCGCCAGTCTAGACAGGTACCTTTCGGAAAATAAACCCTTTTCCGAAAGATCCCTTATTCCTACTTTCAAGGATCCTTTATTCCTATTTTCAAATAGGAATAAGGGATCTTCCGGAAAAGGGTTTATTTTCCAAAAGGTACCTGTCTAGACTAGCGCTTTTCTCCGGCAAAGCCCCGAGCCGGAAAAAAGCGGAAGCCATGTTCATGCAAATGCCGTGGGGAAAATTTAAATCCCCAGGGCATTTGCAATTCCGAAGTGTCTCATTAGCATCCCTTTTCCGGAAAAGGGTGCCAATGTAGACACAGCCTAAGTGTACTTATACTCTATATTAAGTCTTTTAACGGGTTCAATTGTAATATAATGAAACTTTAAAAAACAGCGGGATTTTTTTTTTTGGCAAAGTAGGACAAGAAGGACAATTTTTTTTCAAAGGAGGACAAAAGGAGGACATAAATATTGGGTAGGACAAGCCCCTCAAACGGAGGACGGTCCTCTTCAAAGGAGGACGTCTGGACACCTTACCAAAACAAAACTCTTAATCTTTTTCCTCAAGCCTCTACCTTTCCCTTTTTCACTCAACATGGGTGACACCACCACTTTCATTGTCACTCAGGCCTCTAACTGGGTGTCATCTTGAATCAGTCTTCTCTCTAAATACTCATATCCCAACTGTGTTTACTTGCTGGTTATTCCTGAATAATGTTAAAATCCAGCCTTTCCTCTCCATTTGTCTAGATAAATTTCACCTCATCTTGTGTGTCAACTACAAGTTCCTTCTCTCTGGTCTTGAGAAACTACATTTTGTTCCACTTAAGTTCATTCACAGCACTACTGTAAAAATCATGTACATGCCATGTCACTTTGACCATTTCTATTTTCTCCCTCTCTGCATCCCTCACTCTTCCCTGTCTCCACTGCATCAAGCACTTTGTCTTCCTTTTAAAAGGCCATTATGACCTAGCTTTGTTCTCATCTGTTATTATACAGTTTTGAGATGTGGCCTCTGTTCTGCCAGTGATTACAGCTTTCACTGCCCATTTGCCGAAATTGTCAGGTTTTCCAAAAACACCTTTGCACTTCTTTCCATGATGACCCTTATGCATGGAAAGAGCATTCCTCTTCCTCAAATCTCCTCTTAAAACTCATCTTGGCTAGTGTGACAATGCGTCAGGGAGCCCCCGACCCTGCACCCCCATCCACAGTCAGATGTGACTCTCAGCCAGTAGAGTAGATTTAATAGTTCCCAGAGACACAGTGTAGCTTAGAATCAATGTTAACACAGGAACCAGGGCAGACAGCCTTATTCCACTTCAGAGACACAGTGTAGCTTAGGATCGATGTTAACACAGGAACCAGAGCAGACAGCCTTATTCCACTTGGGGGGGAAGGGCTCACTGGCCCTGAACCTCCCCTCTTTTCTGCTTTCAGTCTGCTCTCTCATCCTACCCAGGGGAGACTGCCTTACCCCCACAGCCACTGCTCACTTGCTCCCGGCAGCCCCGCCTCCTCCATTGTTATCTGCTGTCACCTGGGCCTCAGGATGTGAGAGACTGTACATACTTCCCCAGTGAGTCGCACCCAGCCTCCCCCTCCTCATGCAGCTAGTGCTGCAGGGCCTGGGTATACTAAGACTCGCACACACCCACACACAGTATCACTACAGAGCAGCATGGGACAGTTGGATTATATATAACACCATAAGACAAATAGTGAATGCAACACTAGAGTGAACATAGGATTACAAAAGTAGACAACATCCCCACTACGTCCTGGCTAGGTTTCCTCCAAAGTGCTTGGCAATGATTAGATAGTTGGTATGCTTGTGACTGCTGTTTATTACATCAATTGTAATATTCTATTTCCTTGTGCTCCCTCTGCTTGTATCTTTTGCCTCCATTTAAAATGCCTCTTCCTTGAATTCACATCTTTCACACAGTTGGAGGTGGAGGCTGCTAGATTGCGTGTTTTGTTTTTTTAAATGCAACCTCGGTTTCCTGTTTCTCATGATCCGAGCCCTTTCGCTGAAGGAACTGATTCAAACTCCTTGCCGGATACCCTCCTTGTCTTGGCATGGAGAGAAGCGGGGCAGAAACCTCTGTTGCTGATATGAGTGAAGAAATCACCTATGCATCTGTAAAGTTTTCACGGACTCCAGCAGTCTGTACCAATGATGTTGTGACAAATAAAGGTAAGCAAGCCTAATGAAGGTTCTGTCCTATGGTATCTGCAGGATCTATGACGGAAGTGTTCAGAGCTGGTCATTGACTTGGGGTGTCCAGCTTGAGTGAGCGTTTGATATTAAGTGCTAAGCACTCACACTTTATCAGAAATCAATGGGAGCTGAAAGAGCACAGCATCTCTGAAAGGAAGGCCCCTTTCGGGTTCTCAGTTTGAGCACCTGAAATCTATAGCTTTCTTGAGTTTGATTGAATAACAATAGAATGGAGAATTTAAACCTATGTAAACTAATATTGATTGAATAACAATAGAATGGAGAATTTAAGCCTATGTAAACTAATAATTATGAAGGTATAGATCAATTACTGGCATATAAAAATCATACATGAGTGAGGGAAACGATTATTTAGATAATCCTGTGTCTCCTGAGGGTGAGTGCAAGATTGCTCTTTAGGACATGTTATCTTTTTTTAGTGTTTTCCTCAATCTAGGTTTAAAAGCCCCCACTGACGGAGCTTGCATCTCTTGTCCTGAGAGGCCGTTCCACAACTCAACACATCTCACTAAGATTTTCCAAGTATTCATCTTACATTTTTCCTTTCATAGTTTCCTCTTTCCTCTTGCTGTTTGCACCCTTTAGATATTTGCAGGCTGTTATGAAGTGCCCTGACCACTTCAGTTGTGGATTTTAGCTCTCTTTATTTGTTTCTTTCCAGTCCCTCAGTCATTTTTGTTGCTCTTCTCTGAATTCCCCCCAGTTTGCTAATATCTAATAATGAGGTGCCCACACTGAATGTAATATTCCAGGTACGTTGTCATCAAAATTGTGTAGAGGGAGGCTATTGCTTCCGTGTCCCAAGAAGGTATACTTCTGTGTACTCAGCTAAAACACCCATTTCCAGTGGCTGGGGCTATTTAGGCCTCATGCCTAAATATTAATCTATATGAACAATGCTACCATAGGGAACCAAATATCCACCTGCCAGCAAGGTCTCGTTCAGTGGGCAAGAGACCACCTTGATTTTGGATTTGTTTTCTAGCTGTGTTTCAAGTCTGTCACATGGGAGATGGGGTTTATATTATATATATTTCAAATGTTTTGCAGTCTCTTTTTTATTTCAAAATCTTCCTTTTCACATTATTCCCTACTGAGTCAACAGCAGAGGAACAAAAAAGGGGAAGCTCCTCTTCAAACCCAGTCCCTTTGCCTCCTCAGGAAATGGTATCTGATCACTTGTCTACCTCATTCCTCCAAATAAAGCATTTTTTTCTAGGCTAAAGTAAGGCTCCTACTTCCTCTCATTGGGTCACATCTTGTAATTCAATGCCAATTTGCCACAGTTGACTCTCCAAGAACTTGTCCAGTTGTTTAAATGTCCTGTGTGTTAAAGGTTTCCCTCCTTTTCCTTTGGATAGTCTCCTTCAGTTTCACAGCCTCACTGTTAGGAAATATTTCATGAGTATCAGTACAAGATTTTCCCCTTTTGTTCAGTTTCATCTCAGTTTTTTTCCTCCCTTTCTCCACACAAAAGTCTCTTTCCTCATGTGATACTGTAACATTTGAGATCAGCAGAGGCCTTCAGGTTCAACAGGGCAGAACTAGGGGCAATGAATTCTCATGGAAGGACCTTCAACTCCGGAAAAAAACAACAAACGATCTGGCAGCACTTTATAGACTAACAAAACATGTAGATCAGTGGTCCCCAACGCGGTGCCCGTGGGTGCCATGGTGCCCGCTGAGGCATTTATGTGCGCCTGCCTAGTGACCAGGGCCTGCCATAGCCATTCTTGCACCCCGGGCCCCAGGTGCCCGGCAGCCCCAAAAGGTTGGGGACCACTGATGTAGATGGTATCATGAGCTTTTGTGGACACAGCCCACTTCTTCAGATGACTGAAGTTATGAGTAGTTGTGATTTGTTTCCATCAGTCCCCTGGATCCTCAGTGTGCTAACCTTGGTAGTCTGGTTCAAAGAAAGCTTTTAACTTCTCCAGTCTTTGGGGAAGGAGTAGGGTTAGGAAAGTGTCTGCGGATTCAAGAGATACAGATAACTTATTGGGGCTAACTGATTAAGACAGATGAACATAGAAGTTCTTTATTTCTGGTTTGTGATTCTTTCATTGTACTTGTGCCAAGAGCCCAGTGAGAGGGCCACTTAAAAGTCAAAATCATTGTACTTGTGCCAAGAGCCCAGTGAAAGGGACACTTAAAAGTCAAAATAATAAAAATAATAATATAAAGATATAATGAACCATATATAATGGCCATAACCAGCATCATTACAGTTTGGGGAAGATGTAACCAAGCAACTATATCCATCATGATTTTATTTGAATCTTGCCTCATTCATATTATGATGAGATTAATTTTTCATGACAGCAAGAACTATGGTTCAATCTATGGGAAAGATGCAGCATCTGAACTGTGATGCTGAGAAATGAGGGAGGAACTGAAAAATCTCTCCAGGCAGTTTCTTAGAACGGAAACCAGACTTCAGTATCATGTTTGAGCAGATATTGATCTCATATTTGAACTAATTTTTGTTTATAGTCAATGTGTGCAAGAGATTATGTGATGCAGAGGGAGTTCCCCCTTCCCTCCTAACATCAGGCTTTGGGGCATTTCTCAGGCCCTCAGATTGAGTCTAACATCTTGAGGTACTCAATAGCCACGCTGCTAGTAATACTAATAATGAAGTGTTATCCAAAGGTCTTATCCTGATTAGAGCCTGAGTAGTGCTAGGTGATATACAGAGATGAACAAAGACATGATCAATATCAGAGGAAGGGCGTAACTATTCCATCTGAAACTCCAGGAAGAATTCAGAGAGGAATAATGTAGTGGGAATATGTTTAGGGATCTGGGCAGAATGCTGAGGTTAAAATTACTTACTCAGGCAGAAAGTACCAGGGCATCTAGGTCATTTCTGACTCAGAGTAAAGTGCTCCCTTACTAGGAGTGCTTCTTGCCGGAAAATATCCCTGTAGCACCGTTCAGGGCTGTTGCTTTCAGCATTGTGGATTGCCTGGGCAGTACAGGTGCAAGCAGCCATTTCTGGTTATGGACATATTATTAATGGAACTACAAAGAGATATAAGCAGTGTATACCTTTTAAGGTATAAAAAGGGCCATAAGCTCTGTGGCCATAAGCAGTTTGGTAAATATAGCTATGAATGGGGATGCGTAGTTGCCGGTCAGATAGGTGTATACACCATGCATTTACCAGAATTCCTATTTTCTCTCTTCTAGCTCCCCAGCGCTGGCCATCTATCCTGTACATCTTGGCTGTAGGTGTTGGGATACTGATTGCCCTCCTGGTGATTGTAGTGATAATACAAGTGGTTTGGAGGACTGGTGAGTATTCAAAGAGACATTGGATATAAACAGCCTGATCCTGCAAGATGGGAGGTCTGTTCTTAGTTCATCTAAGCAGAGAAGGTATGATGATGACGACCATTATACTCTGGCACATCAGGAGAGACTCTGCTGAAGACACCAGGGATAATCTAGCTTTGCAGCATGTCAAAGAAAGCAGAAGTTTGCCAAAAACTTACTGAGGTCATCCCCAATGGAAACCCCAGAGGGCTTGTCCTAAGCCTGGTTTCCTAGTTAAAGGAAGAGCAATGAAACATAATGAAAGATTGTTTTTCAGATTTGTCTGCCTTAAAGCAGTGACTTGAGAAATAATAGTATTACTGGTATGACATTCTAGGTAAAACATGCACAAAACAGTGACTTGAGAAATAATAGTATTACTGGTATGCCATTCTGGGTTTAGCATGCACAAGAAGGTGCTAAACCTCATATGCTTATGTTGCGTGCTGTTGTGAGCTGTGACCAGGGCATCTAGGTCATTTCTGACTCAGAGTAAAGTGCTCCCTTACTAGGAGTGCTCCTTGCCGGAAAATATCCCTGTAGCACTGTTCAGGGCTGTTGCTTTCAGCATTGTGGAATTGCCTGGGCAGTACAGATGTAAGCAGCCATTTCTGGTTATGGACATATTATTAAAGGAACTACAAGGAGATGTAAGCAGTGTATACCTTTTGAGGTATAAAAAGGGCCATAAGCTTTGTGGCCATAAGCAGTTTGGCAAATACAGCTATGAATGGGGATGCGTAGTTGCCGGTGAGATAGGTGTATACACCATGCATTTACCAGAATTCCTATTTTCTCTCTTCTAGCTCCCCAGCGCTGGCCATCTATCCTGTGCATCTTGGCTGTAGGTGTTGGGATACTGATTGCCCTCCTGGTGATTGTAGTGATAATACAAGTGGTTTGGAGGACTGGTGAGTATTCAAAGAGACATTGGATATAAACAGCCTGATCCTGCAAGATGGGAGGTCTGTTCTTAGTTCATCTAAGCAGAGAAGGTATGATGATGACGACCATTATACTCTGGCACATCAGGAGAGACTCTGCTGAAGACACCAGGGATAATCTAGCTTTGCAGCATGTCAAAGAAAGCAGAAGTTTGCCAAAAACTTACTGAGGTCATCCCCAATGGAAACCCCAGAGGGGTTTCCTAGTTAAAGGAAGAGCAATGAAACATAATGAAAGATTGTTTTTCAGATTTGTCTGCCTTAAAGCAGTGACTTGAGAAATAATAGTATTACTGGTATGACATTCTAGGTAAAACATGCACAAAAAGGTGCTAAACCTCATATGCTTATGTTGCGTGCTGTTGTGAGCTGTGGTCACACCTATTACACTTCTCATCCTGTGAAACAATCACACCATCATGTTATCGTATTCTTTCCCCCTGCATTTCAAACATAGGCAGTGCATGCTTTGCAGTTAGAGGCCTAAGTAAGTTCTGCTTTCACAGGACTAAGTAACTGCATCTACTCAAGTCTGCAGAGTTATCCCAGTGTAAAAGGAAGATCAGCCTAGAGTGCACACATCTGATCAAATTCAGAGGTGTTATAAAGAATTACATAAAAGGCCTGTGATTCCATTGCCCAGTAAAAGTTGATTATGCTTTTATTCCTGACCCTCAGGTCCCTGCCTTAATCACATTCCATCCTTTCCACATGGCTGCCATGTTCTGCTAAAGAAGTGGCTACATTTCCACAAATGTCTATGCAATTCCAACAGGTATCCAGGCTATAAAATGCCCTAAAATCCTTCATAGTGAATAGAAACATAGAAAAATCATTGATATGCATTCTTTGCAGATAGCACCTGTCCTGGCTGCCCTGACCAATGGTTGGGTTACAGGAGCAGCTGTTACTTCTTCTCCAAGATGAAAAAGGATTGGAGTTCCAGCCAGGATTCATGTTCTGCAGAAGGATCACATCTCCTGGTGATCAGTGATGCCAGTAAAATGGTAAAAGTCTATCATTATCATTACATGAGGCTCTTCCATTGCCTTGCAAATGCTGTTATGATTTGCCTGCAGGGCATGCTATCATGCTGAGACCAATCTATATATATTTTAGAAATTTGTGGGTGTGTCTGTCTGTGAGTCTGTTTGCTCAAGAACTCCTCCTAAACAGTAAGAGCTAGGACCAGGAAGTATGGTATGCAGCTTCCTTTTATCCTAACTTAAAGGAAGGTCAGGGTCTGGTTGTTCCAGGAAAACAGGATGGGCCTGGAATTTGATTGTTTTCCATAACATGGAAAGGGAGGGGGCAGAGAGAGGAGGGATGGAATATTCACAGTCACCACTGGAGGCTAGAGAGCACAGGGGAGAGCAATCCTGCAGCATGACCATGGGGGGCAGCTGTACCACCAAGGGAGTGGCCAGTTGCCATTGGGCTCCACCATCTTTCTTGCCTAATAAATGGCCATGTTCCCCAAACCTCTCCTCTCCAGACCTTGGCCCCAGGGTTAAACTGGGAAGGTAACGGAGGCGGAGCAGCATACCCCCCCCCCCCCCCCCCCCCCAGCATCATCAAGCCACTAAGCATGGCCACAACTGGCTGGCCCACATGTTCCCTCCCTTCCCTCCCCCCAGCCTGGCCTGGGGAATGCTGGTGGGAGGCCTGCATGACCCTCCCCACCCCCAGCCCCAGGAGTGCCAGCTGGAGGCTTGCACGGCCCCCGCTGCACCCCCATGCTGGGCAGATCTTCTAGTTTACTATAAAGGGAAGAAAACCCCTTGATTCTGTTGATGATATGCAGGAGGCTAGCATTTTTAGTCTAGGTCTAAGAGGTTCCCATGGGGTTATTATGATCAGCAGTCAGAGACAGATGCTGCAGGGGAACCTTTTTCCATCCTCTGGTCTGTGTCCTCCCCCTGCCAACAGTTAGCTTTCCACGGATGACAGGTAGCTTAGCTCAGCCATTTTAAGCATCTGAATGCAGCTTTGTGGAGGATATTAGAAGCCATCTGTTTGTAACTACTTTCCCCTACAAGTGCCAGGTAGGGGCACAAAATTGGTGACCATAAGAGACTTTCAGGTACCAGACAAACAAAGCTAGTTAGGACTCCTGCTTAAGCAAATGCTGAGCAAAGCCCTTGTTGCTGGGAACCATCCTCAACCTCTGTCCAACCCATTTTTCTACAGGTTCTGCCAGAAAGCCTCCCTGATCTCTCTGGTGAAAGTTCTTCACCCCTTTCTCTGTTCCTTGGGCCTTCTCTGATATCTCCTGTAATGAGTTCCATGTACTGTATAATGGATTTTCCTGCTGTAAATCATTCCTGTACTTCAGCCACACGATACTGCATTCCTTATATTGTATAGGCTGTGACCCATAGGCTGTCCTTTGCTAGAAACATTCATTGATTTCCTGGACATAATTCTCCAACTAGCCTGTCTCTACACTGGTTTGTCCTAGCTTCTGTTTCCCAAACATCTCCCTGGGGAATACAAGCCCCCTCAATTCACAAAGAAACCACATTGCCACAGCTTGTCTGGAAGATGTCAGCTCTGTTGTTTGCTTCTATGCATCCCCATTCCTGGCAGCAGGAGACGGAGCATTATAACACTGGTGTATTATGATTTAATTAGACATATAGTAAGGCAAATTCATCCTTGGTGATTTCCTTAACTTTTGTGTATTTATTCCAAGGCACAATGTATTGTGTACAGTTATTTTTTCTATGAACAAGGAACACACATGTTCAAAGTCATAAAATGGAAATGAAAGCCTCTAGAGGGAAAAAGTCCATGTGTCTTTACTGAAACTTCAACACTGCCCTGCCAATGCCTGTTCCAGTTCTGGGTTCCCGCACACAACTCTGCCAGTGCCCCTCAGTCCTGCCCTGAAGCTCCCTGCAATTCCAGCCCTGGGTTCTTCCTGGCACCTCAACTTGTGATTGCTGCTTTCTGAACACAGTGTGCACTACATGTCTCCAGACAGGACTCCAAGGTTTGAGCTGCTTGCCAGCTATTACTTCCTAAGTATAAAAAGAAGAGTGTGGGAAACACAAGACAGGGACAGCAGCAAGAGACAAGCTATCAGCATTTTTTAAGATGTATGCATGGGTCTTGTCACCCACATGAAGTTAACTGAAATATTGCTAAGTTCCACAAAAATTGTTATTCAGATTTTAATGATGTTTTAATGTTTTGGGCCAATCAGCTACAAGAAAATACTGATTATCTTAAGAAATTCCAATGCATGACATTAATTAGATATATCAATGTTAATAATAAGATAGTCTAAGTGTGAGTGTAAGACTGTTGATCAAAGGAAGGCAGTGTAGTACAAGATAATGTGTACCAGTATGCCTATACATATATGCACACACTGTTAATGTACAGTTCATAAAATAAACCACAGCATAAAACTTTTTACTTCCAAAAGTTTAACTTTTCTGTCCAGTATGCCTATACATATATGCACACACTGTTAATGTACAGTTCATAAAATAAGCCACAGCATAAAACTTCTTTTACTTCCAAAAGTTTAACTTTTCTCTGCTACCTTTCTTCTGTCCTCATGTCTTGTCCATCCATATTAACCAAGATATTTACCCAGAAAACTGTCAAATTATATTTTGCACTGATTTTCATACATTTAAAATGTTTTAATAATGAACAGTGGTACATTCTCAGGAGAAGAATAGTCAGGCTCAGCTGATACATTTTGCCCCCTGACATTTGATCTCTCTGTTTGCCTATCAGGACATGTATTTTCAGGTCGAATTAGCCCCTTTTTGTGGCTTCTCCACTCCCTTTTAGGACCTCTTCAAGCAGATGTACACAGATACCTACTGGATTGGTCTGAGGAACAAAAACGGCACTGCCTGGACCTGGGAAGATGGTTCAAAACTCAACAATACAAAGTGAGTTTGATTTCAATTAAAAAAAAAAACAGCACACTGAAGAGCTAGATCGTCAGACACTCACTGTATTTATCAGTTCTTATGCAAGCAAAACTGCTAGTGAAGATCTTGGGAGCTATGTCTACACTGCAGGGAGTATTGTGGTATAGGTGGTTTACATTATGTGACAGATATTATTGTGGCCACAGCTATGCTGGTATAACCCCACAGTCCAGGTGCATCTTACCCTGAGGGAAGGGTTTATTCTTCTTTGAGTGATGTCCCTGTGGGTGCTCCACTCTGGGTGCACCGGCACCTGGAGATTTTTCCAGCAGTGTCCTGCTTTGCCATGCACACGCCCTGGTGCCTCCTCATGCTGTTGGTGTCCATTAGGTGCATCTGTGGCCTGGCCCCCCTCAGTTCCTTCTTTACCATCCTTGGAGGCAGATGGAGCTTCTTCTTTCACCCGTTTTCACGCAAAAACTACAGAAATAGTTAATTCTTCTCAGTTTTCCTCATCTTTCCAAGTTTTGAGTCCTTCCCAACCCTATACTAAAAACATTTTTTTTTCCTTCATCATTCACCCAGACTTCATTTTTCTCCTCATGCCTGGATTCCCAGTCTTCAAATGATATGAGACCTGCCGAGATGCTATGCCCATTTCTGATGGGCACTTGTCATGCATAAATTGTTTGAGAGAAGCCCATCAGATGCAGAAGTGCACTCACTGCGCAGATCTTACAGCGAGAGTGCACCATGACCGTGCCAATAGGCTGAAAATGTACCTATATGAAAAGTTGCTTCAGCCACCATGTGAAGACTCTCCCATGCCTAAAGCATCAGACAGGTTGAAAGGTATGGACAAAATTCATCCCTCTACCTCTTTTGGCTAGCCAAAGTTGAAAATCCGGGTTTCCCTAGCTAGATTGCTAGCCTCAGTACCCAGCTCAGCAAGGGTGAGCATTGGCGACAGGCCCAGCACTTCTGGTGCGATACTGCCTAAATCATCCGCACCATACAAGAGGGCCCACTCTGAGCCCAAACAAAAACAATTGGCACTGGCAGCACTGATCGTACCAGCCGAATCCGTCACACACTCTAGGCACAGATCAGCATCAAAGCTGGCATCGGAGGCAGACCCAGATATGGCATCAAAAACCATGCACCAACATTCCTCCTCCCAAACAATTGTCTCCAATGGCACCAGAAGCACCAAGCACCACACTCTTAGCCTTGGTACCGCTACTAGATTGCCTACGGCACTGTGCACCCCCACCCAGCTGACCCTCACTGGCACTGCCATCTCCATGCTCATAGGTGCAGTCCGGTCACACACAGATTTGAAAATTTGGTCGATAGCCAGAAAGACATTGCTGTCACACCACCAACCGGACAGCTACAGTTCAATCACTGCCTCCGGCCCTTTTTATACCAATGCGCACAAATATCAGATCAATGGATATTGGAGCTCACCAAAATTGGTTACTCCATCCCATTCATTGTTCTTCCTCCTACTCACTCTCCCTTCGCATCCCTCTTCAGGGACCCCTCTCACAAGACCTTCCTTCAGCAAGAGGTCCTCACCTTCTACCAATAGGTGTGATAGAGTCAGTACCAATGGCTTTCCAAGGGAGAGAGTTTTCTCAACATACTTCCTAACTCAGAAGAAGAATGGCAGATGGAGACCCATTTTGGACTTAAGGGGTCTCAGCAAGTACATCACATACCAACAGTTCAAAATGTTGATACTAGCAAGAATTATTCCAGCACAAGTACATCACATACCAACAGTTCAAAATGGCGATACTAGCAAGAAATATTCCAGCTCTAGATCAAGGAGGTTGGCTTTCAGCTCTCGACCTTCGGGATGCTTATTTTCAACAATACATCCTGCTCACAGGCATTTTCTATGATTTGCAGTTGGGAGCCAACATTATCAATATTAAGTGCTCCCATCTGGGCTTTCAACAGCTCCCAGAGTTTTTTCCAAGATTCTGGCTGTCGTGGCGATATTCCTGTGCTGTCAGGGAGTCATAATATCCCATACCTGGATGACTGTCTTATAAAAGGCACATCCTTCCGAGAAATGCAGGACATGGTCAATAACACCAAGGACCTTCTGCTTCATCTCATTTTCCATATAAACTACCAGAAGTCCATGCTCCAGCCTACTCAAACTGTAGAATTTATAGGAGCACACATTGACACCGTCACAGCTAGGGCAACTTTGCCCAGGCACAGATTCGAGGCCCTTCACAACCTCTTAATGGTGGCACATGCGACCTCCACTGCAACAGTCTGTGAATACCTCAAGATCCTAGGCCAGATGGCTGCCACCACCTATGTGGCCCAATTGACCAGGCTACATATGAGGTGCCTTCGGTCCTGGTTGGCCACACTTAACACCCCTTTCCAAGATGGTCACCCTCTTAATGGTGGCACGTGCGACCTCCACTGCAACAGTCTGTGAATACCTCAAGATCCTAGGCCAGATGGCTGCCACCACCTATGTGGCCCAATTGGCCAGGCTACATATGAGGTGCCTCCGGTCCTTTACACCCCTTTCCAAGATGGTCACTATCTCACCACATGTCCTCAGTTCATTGGAATGGTGGACGCATCCACACAATGTACTACACAGTGTACAATTCCATTAGCCAACCCCAACAGCCATCATCATGACCGACGTGTCCCTCCTGAGAAGGGGGGCTCATCTTGGACACCTCACCATACAAGGAAAATAGTCCCTCAGCAAACAAGTGTACCACATCAATCTCCTAGATCTCAGGGCTGTGCACTATGCATATCTCCACTTTCTGTACCACATAACACACAGCACAATCAGTATCATGACAGACAACACAACTTGCATGTATTATATCAACCAACATGGTGGGGTCCAGTTACCCCTCTTATGTACAAAAGTTCTCAAATTATGGAACTAGTGCCTTGCACACCAAATTATCCCCTTAGCCACGTACCTCCTGGGGGCACTGAATGTTATGGCGGACATTCTCAGCTGCAATTTTTATGACAATCATGAATGGGAGATAGATTCCCAAGCCCTCTAACACGTTTTCTTTCTTTGGGGACAACCAGACATAGACCTCTTTGCAACCAGAGCTAACTGTAAATGTCACCTTTATTGCTCCAGAGCAGCCCTGGGGAAGGCTTCTCTGGGAGATGTGTATTCCCTCAAATGGGACTGTGTCTAGATTACATGAGGTATTCACATTCTACAAGGAGTAACGGTAGTTCGAATTAGGATCTTTAATTCAAACTACTTACTCTGTGCCATGTGTAGCCGCGGGCACGGAGTTTGGACTAAGGGGGATTTAAAAATGGCGGCGCCTGGGAACATGAAACTGAAACCCATGATATTTAAATCCCTGGCTTCATTTGCAACTCTGCTTGCCCTCATAACCCTACCTAGCTCAAACTAACGAGCTAGTATAGACATACCCTAAGAGTTTGACTAAGCCACCCTTCAAGCCTCTAGCAACTTGCTCATGGTCACACCTATCCATGAAAGTCACCTTTCTGGTGGCTATCACCTCCAGCAGGAGAGTGGGGGAGCTTGCTGCACTAATGGCAGTCCCCCCTTTATACAATTTTCACTAAGGACAGAGTGACCCTTCGGCCCCACCCTAAATTCCTCCTGAAGGTCTCTTCTTCCTTCCACATTGATGAATCCATACACTTACTTGTGTTCCCCAAGCTGCACGCTGATCCATCCCAAGCTGCATAGCATACCCTCAGTGTCCGCAGAACACTCTTGTTTTACATAGACCGAACAAAATCATGGAGAATATCCCCCGGACTCTTATCCTTTGACAAACATTCCAAGGGCCAAGCAGTCTCCTTCCAGAGGATTTCTTAGTGGATCTCATCATGTATCCTCTCATGTTACACCATCCATAACAAACAACCACCAGGCACGATCACTACCCACTCCACTAGGGCCATGGCCTCTACACCTGCCTCTCTCACAAATGTACCTCTGGAGGACATTTGCAAAGCAGCCACTTGGTCATCAGACCAAATATTTGCAAAACACTACACGCTTATCTCGGCCATTGCATCATATATGGCTGTTGGACAAGTGGTGTTATCCTCATTGACAGTGGCAGGGCTCCAAACCCACCTCCACAATTTGACTACTGCTTTGTAGTCACCCAGGGTACATCTAGACTACAGACTTTTGTCGACAGAGGATGTCTAGACTACATCCAGTTCTGTCGACAAAGCAAGCCACTTTGTCGACGTGACAGTGTAGACGCAAAGGACAGTATAGATGCAATAACGCCTTCTGTCGACAGAACTCTGTTGACAGAAGGCGTTATTCCTTGTAGAATGAGGTTTACCACTGTCGACAAAACTGCCGAGTTCTGTCAACGTTAAATCAACAGAACTCGGCGGTAGTATAGACGCAGGTGTAGTTTTGTCGACAAAAGTCCCCTGTTGTCGACAAAACCTTGTAGTCTAGACTCACCTCCAGAGTGGGGCACCCACGGGGACATCACTCGAAGAAGAAAGGAGAGTTACTCACCCTGTGCAGTTACAGGGGTTCTTTGAGATGTGTGTCCCCATCAGTGCTCCACCACACACCCTCCTTCCCCTGCTTTGGAGCCTTCTGGTCTAGTGGCAAGAGTAGAGAAGGAACTTAGAGGCTGCGCCATGCTCATGCCTAACTGACACCAACGGCGTGAAGAGGCACCAGGGCACATACACAGCACAGCAGAACACTGCTGGAAAAATCTCTGGTCACCGGCACGAGGACACACCAGAACCCAGAGTGGAGCATTCATGGGGACACACATCTCAAAGAACTGCACAAGGTGAGTAATTCCCCTTTCAGTCAACATAGGAAAACCATACTCCTGAGGGAAGCACAGGCACTTTCTTATTTCTGGATGGGTGTTCCATGCCTTGGGGCCCCACCCCTTACTCCATCCCTTCCCCAAGACCCCACCCTTGCTCTTCCTCTTCCCATTCCTTCTCCATCCCCCAAGCAAGCTCTGGTCTCACTTTGCCTCTTCGCACCCTTTCTCTGCCCTCTTCTGCCAGTACCTGCCACTGAGTAGCTGGTGGGTGCTGGGCACTCACTGTTTTTTTCAATGGGTGCTACAGCCCTGGCTATGTGAATAGGAGCATTCTTCTATTGACCAAGTTGTACTGACACCAGGGATTAGGTCAACATAGCTACAGCACTCAGGAGATGTGGATTTTCTCAACCCTGAGAGCTGTTGAGATGTCAGCCTAACTTCGAATCGACGTGGATTCATGCTGATGTCTGAAAAGTAGAATTTGACAGTGCATAGTGTCTGGTCTGGACTTAGAATCATAGACTCTGGTAGATTCATCAAACACTAGAACTGGAAGGGACCTTTGGAGGTCATCAAGTCCAAGCCCATGCTCTCACGACAGGACCAAGCACCATCTAGATCATCCCTGATAGATGTCTCTGGTGATGGAGATTCCACAGCCTCCCTAGTCAATTTATTCCAGTGTTTAACTACCCTGACAGTGGGAAGTTTTTTCTAATGTCCAACCTAAACCTTCCTTGCTGGAATTTAAATCCATTGTTCTCGTCAGAGGTCAAAGAGAACAAATTTTCTGTCTTCCTTATAACACTTTTATATATTTTAAAACTGCTATCATTTCCCCTCTCAGTCTTCTCTTTTCTAAACTAAACAAGCCCAGTTCTTTCAGTTATTCATCACAGGTCATGTTTTCTAGACCTTTAATCATTTTTGTTGCTCTTCTCTGGACCACATCTTTCTTGAAATGTGGTGCCGAGAACTGAACACAATGCTCCTACTGAGGCCTAATCAGCACAGAGTAGAGCAGAAGAATTACTTCTGGGCTGTGTCTAGACCGGCAAGTTTTTCCGCAAAATCATCTGCTTTTGCGGAAAAACTTGCCAGCTGTCTACACTGGCCGCTTGAATTTCCGCAAGAACACTGACGATCTCATGTAAGATCGTCAGTGTTCTTGCGGAAATTCAAGCGGCCAGTGTAGACAGCTGGCAAGTTTTTCCGCAAAAGCAGATGATTTTGCGGAAAAACTTGCCGGTCTAGACACAGCCCAGAAGTAATTCTTCTGCTCTACTCTGTGCTGATTAGGCCTCAGTAGGAGCATTGTGTTCAGTTCTCGGCACCACATTTCAAGAAAGATGTGGTCCAGAGAAGAGCAACAAAAATGATTAAAGGTCTAGAAAACATGACCTGTGATGAATAACTGAAAGAACTGGGCTTGTTTAGTTTAGAAAAGAGAAGACTGAGAGGGGAAATGATAGCAGTTTTAAAATATATAAAAGTGTTATAAGGAAGACAGAAAATTTGTTCTCTTTGACCTCTGACGAGAACAATGGATTTAAATTCCAGCAAGGAAGGTTTAGGTTGGACATTAGAAAAAACTTCCCACTGTCAGGGTAGTTAAACACTGGAATAAATTGACTAGGGAGGCTGTGGAATCTCCATCACCAGAGACATCTATCAGGGATGATCTAGATGGTGCTTGGTCCTGTCGTGAGAGCATGGGCTTGGACTTGATGACCTCCAAAGGTCCCTTCCAGTTCTAGTGTTTGATGAATCT